TCGAAATGGAAGTAAGCCCAACAATTATGAAACAAGAGATTCCTCGAAACCCAACTTTTCTTCCTAAATTGATGCGTCCGACAGTAAGAGGCTCATTGGGAAAGGGTGTCCAGACTACTGGATAGAAAGTTTGGCTTGTAAAAAGGCATTCGAAAGAATGGCAGGCTAGCAGAACTACTCGAGCGAGTTGTGAAACAAGTTCTCGACGATTCCGGCTCCAAAGTGAGTGTGAATTAGGCCTAAAGTTATGCCAACCTTTGAGGTGATGCCGCAACAAGGTTATCGGGAATGACTGTCATGGTGACCTATCCCAACACTATCCCTACATCGATTTGTCTCCTGACAGTTTCTCATTCCACTCGAAGTCCACATACAAAAGCAACTATCCCGACCCTTGTCCTACGACTATCATATGATTTCACACTCACTAACCACACACGAGAATGATCTATCAAAAAGTCGAATCAATCGCCAAGTCCCACTTAGAAGTCACACACACATGCACAGATACCAGTATATTAAACAGGATGAACTCCTAATTAAAAGGACTTCTCCATTGCTCCCTTTTTCAGGCAACTTGTGCTCCACCTCACGTGTACATTGTTTTGTTTTGTTTAACACAACGTACTTGCGATAGGGTCTCTCCGGTCAGGTCTGGTACCAGTACATTTCTGCACACAAAGCCATCTCACAACATGTTTATTAAATAAGCTCCTCATGCGCGTAAGGTCGGGCGTCCTAATGTAGCTTGGACGGATTGGGTCGCGTCCGATGACAGTTGAAACCCCTTCGCCACACGGAGGATGGACGAAACCGAGGCTTTATCACTCCCAAGCGTCAGGCTTTCTCAAGATGGATATTCGTGTTGAACTCTTCGACGCCATACAAACTTTGAGCCATACTAACTGGATGATATCGCAGAGCTAATGTGCTAATTTGTCGATTGTAGACAACGTGAGCATCTGGCTTGGAATGGTGAGCTCTAAGAGTGCATCTTGTCCTTAATGCGCTTTCGTAATGTCCAGTTTAAGAATGATATGAATCAACGAGCGCAAAATAATGAAGATATATATGCGTATGTGTATGCATACGTGTGTTCAGCATGCATGCATTTATGTGGACATGGGTATGGATCAGCTTGCATGCGTTTACGTATGGAGGTTTGCGTGTGTATGCATATATGTGGGTATATTTATGTATATGTATGTATGCATATGTGTTTGCATATTCGTTTATTTGTACGTTTGTAAGCGTGTACGTGTGTCTGTATGCATGTGAGTGCGTGTGTAATTATAGATATTTCAAAGGCCTATAAGTGGTAGCTTATAATTTCGAGCAACTTGAGAGAACCCGCCACATTCTGCCCTTAAGCTTATTGCCAATGATGCTCCTGCTCTGGGCAAGTGTCCAGGCCTCATTAGGACATAATCAAATGCTTGGGGAAAGTAGGGCCTAATTCAGCGACGAATCGTTTTATTGAATCCAAACTACTCGGGTTCGCGTCATCGGCTGCATTGAACACAATTTTTGCCAGTCGCAATGACCTTTTGGAGCCCCTAAAGAGCTTTCTAAACAGCGACTTATGCCGACTGTAACCCCTCTATTTCATGATGAAGGGCTAGAAGCTGAATTCCTCCACAATCAGATGGTTATACCATACATTTCCAATAAATTTCACATAGCCTTGCTTGCCAAAAGTAGTTTCTCCATCGTCTCTATCTTAACAGCATTCTCAACTGACTGAGAATCCAACTACCGGTCCTTCATCACCTTAAACGAAATATTAATATATAATTATGAGAAGGGGTGATTGCGTTTCTGTCGCCATTTTAGCCAAATTTACTATTTTCATGTTCGACGAAGCAGTAGCTATCGATGGAATACTCGAGATAATAATTTGTCAAGCTGTCAAAGATTAATTTGTTACCACGACTACTTATGGCCAGTTAACAGAAGAAATGCTGTATGGATGCTGTCTGATTTTTTCAATTCAACTCAGTTACTTATTAATGGTAGGGCTGATTGTCAGAGTGACTAACAGGCTCGCTGACAGACTAATTGCGAGTGTTTTGTTTATCCAACTGACCTGCTGAATCGCGAATTTTGGCCTTTTCATATTCACGCTAAAGTAACTGCACACAGGAACATATAAGGCCCAACATTTGATATGACCTGATCTGATTTCAGTGTATGCTGAAGAGGGAAGGAAATTACAATAAAGGAGACTACGACCAAACCGAAGGACACACCATCTGGTTCTTTATTTTGTTGGCTTGGCCTCGTGTTCGCAACCTGGTCAGAGCGACAGGGAGACCTTGCGGAAAGTACATAGTCCTACGTCCTTTGCCATAGTATTCAAGCTGATCTCCAGAATCGGACCGTTGATTGGGTACATTCCCACTGGGAAAAGTGTTGTTGCGAGTGGTTAGAGTTTACAACTACCAATGACTAATACAGTTGATAGACAATTTGTAAATTTGAAGAGAAATAAGCTCCTTGAAGCGCTCACTAAATTGAAGCTGTTATATTTTTCGGTTTGTTTCAATATTTAAGCTAACCGTGATCGTTTTTAGATAGTATTTTATTCTTCTAGGATGATTCCTGAAGTTGGATATATCAGATTTGCCGCATAGATCAAAATAGAAAAAGGTTAAAATTAGATTATTCAATTAGAGCTAAAATCAGACCTTGCCAAACCCTATGTGGGGCTTATATTTTGGAAGATTTATCTATGTTACAAGAATTTACATAAATTATGGGTATTTCATAATAAACTTGAGAATGTGGGCATTAAACCAGTTGACTAAGGGTAAGCAGAAAACAATTGAAGAAGAGGATTAACGGCAAAGCAGAAAAGGTATGTTGAAAAATTGAGTTTTGACAAATCCGTTAATAAATAGATGCTGGAGTACCTATCATTACGTTTAAAGAGGCTAGTGGAGGTGATTCTTAGGTTGGTCCCACTGGAAGATGTGGGGGAGCTGTGATTCTAGATTTGTGCGAATAGTTCCTCTGCGCGCCGCTCTGCCATTCCGATCAATCTTTGCTGAGCTTTCGACCGTCATGTGACGGGCATCGTCACAGCAGAAGGCAAGAAAGATGGTCATCCGCAAACTTACTATGTTATAGAATTGGGTTGACCTTGTTGTCACAACTTGGTCTTGTTGTCAGGGCGACTTAGTAGAACGCACTTAGTCCGAAGTCCTCTGCCATAGTGGTTATCACAACAACCCAGCATCAGACGTTCGACTTGGTACATTCTCAAACGCTTCCCGGTATCGTAGTCGGCATCATCAGTGAGTTTTGCCATTCTCCGCACCAAGCTACGAACTCGTCAAAGAGACAAGTGAAATCAATCCCAAACCACTATGGCAGTGGTTCCCAAACTTTTCCTAGTCGCAGCGCCCTTTTTCAATTAACATTTTTCAATGGCGCCCTACCCTAA